CGAACAATTTAGTGTGGAAATTCACCATAATGGATGGTTCTGTGGTGTTGGCATTAATCGTAGCTACATGGAGGAACAAGTTGACACATTTGATGGCTGCCATAGGAAAACTTTCTGATGTGCTTTACTGGACTAGATGGTTAAACATCTGGGATATGCAATACCAAAAACAGGTTTTGCAATGTATTGGTGCATCCCTGGAAAAAGTATAGATGATGGTTTGCAAGTAGTTAGTTTGGAAACTCATGCTAGGGCTATGGTAGCAGCAAGTCAACAGAACAAAGTACTAATTGTGTTCATTGATCACAACAATATGCTGGAGAAGCAGTTGTGGGATGATGTTCTGTTGCAAAAAGTTGAGCTACCTACAGTTATCAGTCCAGTGAAGACAAGTTATGTGCATGAGCAGAGGGGTGGGCCATCAGCACCAACTTATGGTGAGCACCTGTTCAGCATGTATCGTGGTCCTCATGTAGAAGATGCAGGTGAGAAGGAAGCTCGCATTAGGAGAAATATTTTCCCCAATACTTGCAATGCTGATGCTGTCATGGGAAGGAAGGGGCAAGAAAAGGTTGATTGTGCTGGTGCTAATGAGCAGTTTTATGAAGCTGGTGCCGATGAGGAATACTATGCAGGAGAAGATTCCAGTGAGGAGGAGGAATATTATGGTGGAACAGATACTAGCTCTGACTCGGATTTTGCAGATTCAGACTATGACTTTGAGGATGGAGATGATGCACTATATGATACAAATGTGGACAAAGATTTGAAGGATGAGCTTGTAGCTGAAAAGAGGAAAGGGAAAAAGGTGTCAGAAGAATTAGAAGAGGAAGATGTGGTAGATATGGATGAGTTGAAGTTGCCAGAGTCAGAATCAACACTCAAGTTCAACTTCAAGACATCCAACCCAATGACAGACATGGAGAACCCCACTTTCAAACTTGGGATGACATTTTCAAACCCAGCAGAATTGAGAAAGGCATTAGCAAATTACATTGTGAAGAACAGAGTGAAAGTTAGGAAAACAAGGGACAATGCAAAAAGGTTAGAAGCCATATGTGTTGAGGACTGCCGCTGGAAAATGATTGTTGTTAAAGACTCAAGAAGTGGTTGCTTTCTCATTAAAACACTAGTGGATGTGCACACTTGTGAAAAGGTTTGGGATATGAAAGAAATGACAGCTACTTTGCTAGCACAAAAATTTCATCAGGATTTCAGAGATGACCCTCACATGAGTCTGCTGGCTTTTTCCAACAAGGTTGAGACAAAGTACAACATGAAGGTGGCCAGGTTCAAATTGTCAAGGGCAAGATTAATTTGTTTGAAAAAAATAGAGGAGATGAGGAGGCACAATATGGAAAAGTATGGGACTATGGTCACGAGCTGATGAGAGCAAACCCAGGCACAGCATTCTTTCTGAAAAGGATGGGTCAAACATTTAGTAACTTGTATTTTTGCTTGGCTGCTTGCAAAAAAGGTTGGTTAAGAGCATGTAGGCCCATTATCTGCCTTGATGGAACCCACATTAGAACTAAATATGGTGGCCAAATTCTGACAGCCTACGTTGCACGGATACTTGGATACGTATCGGATACGTGATACGGGGATACGCCTGATACAGCAATTTTCTAAAAACTAGGATACGGGATACGTCTGTATATACATATTAATTATTAAATATATGAAAAAATAACTGTTTTATTAAAAAACTTGAAGTCTTCACGATTGCTTAACAAATACTGCATGGATCTCTTGTTGCCTCCTTTCCCTTTCCCAGTATTTTCCAACATCTGGACGTACCTCCACAAAGGCTTCTTCTCATTATCATCTTCCGGAATCACACGAGCAGTAGCCAATACATGGACTGCATCCACGCTACCTCCACTACCTGCGTCACTTCTAACTGAAGAAGACCCTATGGCCGATCTGCACAGTAAAAGGAGGAGATTACGAAAACAGATTAGTCAAACTGATCTAATCTTAAAATCTGAACCTAAAACACCTACGTACAGAATTCAGAGAAGGAGATGGAGAAGAGAGATCAGAGAAAGAGAGGGAGATGAGAACATACCTCCTGCAAGGGAGACACGGATGTCTTCTGCCGGCGACGAGCCGGCGACCGATCAGCGTCGATTGGACGGAGAGTTGGAGAAGAAGAGGAGAGGACTGGAGCTGAGAGTTATGGAGAGTTGGAGACCTGCGGGCTGTGGCTGCTCGCCTGCTCCAAAGAGTCGAGGGGACGAGGTGGCCGGCTGGGAATTGATGACGTGCGGCGGCGCTAGGAGGGAATCAAGGAGTTTTCATTTTTATACGTCGAACGAAGGGATTGCCGTATCCAAAACGTATCCCAGAGGTATCAAACACTATTTTCTTTTTTTTAAATCAATAAATAACAGGATACTTACGGGATACGTATCGGGCAGTATCAGGGCAGTATCTGAGTATCGGGGCAGTATCCGGCAGGATACGCGCACTTTCTGAAGTATCCGTGTAACGTAGCTGACAGCAATAGGAATAGATCCAAATGACTGTATCTATCCTATTGATATTGCAATTGTGGAGGTGAAGTGCTACAGCAGCTGGTTGTGGTTCTTAACAACATTGAAAATTGATTTGAACATCATAAATACATTCCCTTACTGCATTATGAGTGACAAACAAAAGGTGTGTTATTTATGAAATAAATTATTGTTTATGCTTGATTTTTTTATGTTGTCAAGCGCACAATAGTGATGTGTGAGATATGTTGTAGGGGCTAATAGGAGCAGTTAATGAAGCATTTCTAGATTCTGAACATAGATATTGTGTCAGACATTTGTACCAGAACATGAACCAGCTACACAAGGGAGAAGTGGTGAAAAATCACTTATGGAAGTGTGCAAGGTCAAGCAATCAAACAAAATGGAGGGCCAACATGGATGCATTCAAGGTTGATTGTCCAGATGCTTATGCATGGTTAGAAGAAAAGCCTCCCAATGAATGGTGTAGAGCATTTTTCAATGACTTTGTGAAGTGTGATGTTCTGACAAACAATAGTTGTGAAGTATTTAACAGGTAATTCTCTCTCTTTATGTTAGTGCATTTGTCCTACTCTCGGTACCTAACAAATGTCAGTATTGATGTCTGAACATTAGGTGGATATTAGAGGCCAGGGAATTGCCTATTCTGTCCATGTTAGAGCACATAGCTTGTAAAATTGGCAACAGATATTACAACAAGCAAAGAGAGGCCACAGAGTAGTGGGCAGGACAGATATGTCCTAAAATTAGGAAAAAAAATAGAGAAAAACACTGAATTTACTGCTAACTGTCGTGCAGAAGGATATGGTAGAGCAACATTCTCTGTTAAAAGCATTGAAATGACATACATAGTGGAGCTGAACCTACTAGCTTGCTCGTGTCAAAGATGGCAGCTAACTGGTATTCCATGTAGCCACTCCATAGCATGCTTGAGATCTGAGAGGATTAAACCCGAGCAGATGGTTAACAACTGTTATTCACTAAATTCCTATATGCAAGCATATGGTGCAAATATCATGCCCCTGAGAGACCAGACAGAGTGGCAGCAAGTAAATGGGCCAACAGTTTTGCCTCCATCTTATGAGAAGAAAGTAGGCAGACCACCTAAAAGCAGAAGAAAGGCTCCTGAGGAAAAAGCAGATGGGACAAAATTGAGCAAGCATGGAGTGACAATACATTGTGGTTACTGTAGACGCCCTAACCATAACAGGATTGGGTGTCCTAGACTGAAAGCCATTGCACAGGCTAAAGCAGTAGCTCAGAGGCATGCACAGGAACAACCTCAAGTTGATGAACAAGAACAAGCTGAGGGTGCTGCACAAGAACATGCTCAAGGGGATGAAACACAACCAGCAGCAAGACAAAGGAGGAAAAGGAGGAGAACAGTGCATGAGCAAGTGGACATGTCATCTCTTAATATTAATAGAGGGCCCACAACAGTAGATGAAAATGGAGATGCAGACATACCAGAAATACTTCAGGTACAATGTTTCCAAGTCCTTTTCCTCTTCTTTTTGCACATATCAATATCTCACATAAGTGTTTTCATTTAGCATATTGAAGAGGTTCAACTGGATCCTAGGCTAGATCCATTGAATGTCAGATCAAGTATGGTTTCACAGCTAGGGCAACAGGTACAAATTATAATGACATTGATTTTCTCTTCAATATCAAGCTCTTCCTTATGTGTTGTGTTGGTGCTCATACATTTTGCAACTTAACTGCAGGCACCAACTTTTCAGATAGAAGAAGACACTCCTATCCCAACAAAGTGTGCATTTGTTGCTGCTAACAGATCTTCCATACCTGCAGCTAGGGTCACAACTGTAACAACAGAAGGTGCTGTTGCATTAAGAGGTAGGGGGAGAAATAGATCTGGGGGGAGGAGAGTTGCTGCTACAGCAGCTGCTGTTGTAAATGTTGCTGCTATTTATGCTAGCACTAGCACAACTAGAGGAAGAGAAGCTGGAGCAAGAGGGAGAGGCAGAGGGGCTGGAGCAAGAGGGAGAGGAGCTGGAGCCAGAGGGATAGGAGCTGCAGCAAGAGGCTGGGAAAATTTGTTGTTTGGTCCTACTGAAATGAACACCACTCAAAGTGCACCATTTGACATGTCACAGGAGTAAATCATGTTAGGTGTATGATCTTTTGTGCCCTGAGTTTGTGTGATACATGAAATTCTAACTTATGCTCACACATATTTTGTCATGGCTGTGATACTAAAGAACATCTAGTATTTGTAGTTGAGAGTTGAGATCTCTTTGTAGAACATGATGCACAACCTGAATGGTAGTGCTAGTGTTGGAAGTCTCATATTCAGATTAGTACAACAGATGAAAGTGGTTAAAATCACATAATATCTCATATGCAGATTGCATTTCAATTCAATACAAACATATCTAGTACATCATAATTTAGCACAACAAACAGTTCATACTGGTACACAAGTGACGAGTACATCATTGATCAGCACAACACATGAAACTAGTAGAACAATGCTCCTGCACGCGCCTGGGAGCTTGGCCCAGCGAACCCACGGCCACCATCTTGATCAACTGGCGGAGTAGTGCCATCAACTGTACCATTACAGGTGGCATATGTGTGAAGCCGAGTAGTGTCCTCGTCGTGGTAGTCGCGCAATGCCGGAAACTCTGGTATGATTGGACTGTCATCAACAACCCAATCAACATGGATGATAATTGAATGGACTACAGTCCGCTTCTCAGTACGCTCTCTTGGTGTGGGTGGCGATATTTCATCGTCGGATTCCGGACAGAAACAGAACATTGGCTCATCCGGCTCCGACAGCTCGACGTCGTAGCGCTTAGGCACTTTGTTAGGATCCTTCATCCATGCTTCCACACTAATGCACCAGCGATCATCAGGCTTCAAACACTTTATGAGCTCGCCGCCTAGCTGGTTCACAAGCATCCCCAAAAATGCTCTGTCCCATGCCTCTTGGGGGAGGCCATCGAAGCTCAGCTTCGTAAAAAATGGCAGCGAGGACTGCTCGCAAAACGAGCCGCGATGCCAACGCCTAAACTGGATCGTCTCGCCACCAACTTCAAGCACATGGGAGTAATTGACAACCACGCGAGTGCAGTCTTCGTTGCGGCGGAATCGGACAAAGAAATCAGCCGGCGGCGAGGTTACCTCAACCTTGACATCACCAGAACGGACACTGCACTGCGATTCCAGCGCCGCCAACAGCATTGCCGGAGACACCGGCAGCCGACCACCTTGCACCGTCGTGAAGAGGGCATGGCCTCGCAGCTTCCCCTCCAGAGCGTACATGTCGCGCGTGCGCGTCAGCAAGCACCGCCCATGCTCTAGCCGGAGCTCCGGGTCGCCGCGCCTCCACATCTCTTCCGGGAAAAAAAACCTGCCCTTCCTTCAGCCTATCCATCCCTTCCGCGCCGGATTGAGCTTGTGATTTGAGGGGTGGGGGAGAGAAGGAGACAGGAGAGAGCTAGGGATTTGAGGGGTGGGGGATCGATCGATTTGGGATTTAGGGTTAGTCGATCGGGTCTTTTGACCCCACCGGAAGTTTTGCATAAAACACCTAAAAATATTACAGGGGCCACATTGTATAAAGATCGCCCTCACACCTCACTCACGTGACTTTGTTTTCGTGCCGAAACTGGTCTCCTGTGGGCCTGGATCCTAGTCAGCATGCCACGTGTGCATCCGTTACGGCAGAAAACGACAAAGTGCCCACTTTGCTCATAAAATGGAGTGGAGTGACCAGTTATTCACACTGCGTTAGATGAGTGACCAAACTGCACATCTCGAGAGAGTTGTGTGACCAATAGTGCATTTATCTCAAAAAGAAAATTTTGAGGTATGTGAAAAAGTTTACTGTTTTACATTGTTCGGACCTGATTTTTTTTTTGCTGGGAGCTACTCGGATGTCCGATGAGCTGAAACTTGGCATGGACATCATGCACTCAAGAGACGAATTTTTTTGGAGTTTTTTAAAATTTTCTAGTATTTTTTTAAATCGACTGTTCACATGGTGTAGATGAGCTCGAGAGACGAATTGGATATTTTCGGTTCTTTAGATTTTACTTGAAGGTACGAAATACCATCCGTTTTATGTAAATTATGTCCGAACTTTAGTGAATTTGGACATATTTGCATGAAATTTGTATGATTTGTTCAAATGTTATTTAAAATGTATGTGGGCATGATTTTATGGCCGGCTCCTATATCAGTTTCCGGCATCTACGACACACACAATCAGGTGTGCCGCAGTTCTTTTTAGAATAAAATAACATAGCAATTATTATTTTTTAGGGCATGTAGGAATTTTTTTATTTAGCAAATGTAGCAATTAGTTATTTTTTTAGCAAACGTAGCAAAAAAATTTTGAGGATCACGTAGCAATTAGTTTTTTTAATCACGTAGCAATTAGTTTTTTTTAGACGAACGTAGCAATTAGTTAGTCTGCTGGTGTGTTCCATTCCGCGCACAAGGCCGAAGTGCCCGGTTATTTTTAGCTCTCACGTAAATAATGTCTTTTCTTTTCTTTACTGAGACTTCACGTGGGCCGGATTGTGTGTCGCGTCTCCTGCGTACCGAGTTGGCCGCCATGTGCCGAGGGCGCAGGTTACAGTTTCGAATAAATTTTGTCCCACATTGCCCGCGGTGGGATGATGCACCCTGCTTATCTATCGGGCTGCCTGTATTTGGTTCGCCTCCACGGGTGCAATCGCAGTGGCGGAGCCAGGAATTTGCTGCTGGGTATTCTTTTAAAAAAACTTTATGCCAAAGCAACACAATAGAACAATAAATGTACAACAAGATGATAACATTAATGACTCAATGACCATACATCGATAATAGTAGCAAAATATCATTGTGGCAATATCTCTAACAATTAAGAAAAATTACAAATAGCAAAGGAAATTACAATATAACTTTACGATCCCCTTTCTGGAAGAGATTGATGACATCCTCATCTTTCACTTGCCTGAAGAATTCTCTCTCAACGAATGTAACCAAGCAATTGTTCAAATATTCATCACCCATTTTGTTTCTTAGTGAATTCTTCACGTATTTCATCGAGGAAAATACCCTCTCAACGCTAGCAGTGGCTACCGGAAGAGTGAGAACCAACTTAAGAAGTTTGTAAACAATATAATATTGTTCATTCTTTCTTGTCTCAACCATCAAAACTGGAAGCTCACATAGACTCTTCAACTTGCTAAACCTTTTATCCTTACGCACATGAGAAATGAACATGCTTAATTGCCATGGAAGTCTTGACAATTCATCATTTGTGAAATCCTTAGCATAAAACTTTCTAGCAAGCCTAACCAACTTCTCTTTATCATAAGCAGCAAATGAATCACGTGGACTGAATGTTGCCATGCAAGTAAGTAGTTCAGTGTTTACCTCATCAAATCTTGCATTCAGCTCTTGAAGTTGCCTATCAATGACACCCACAAACATTTCAACCTTGTACTGTGTGGTGTTTGAAGCAATGGACTCCCTAATTGATGTTGCAGGTATAGTGAACTTATCATACTTTTCTGGAGCTTCAGCATGAGCACTACTAACAGCACCAATATGCCTCTTCAATCTAGCTTTCAAGTTCCAATTATTAAACCCACCGTTCATGAATGCATCTCCTCCGGGACTTTTTGTTTTATCCTTGAACAAGTAGCAAACAAAGCAGAAAGCAGCCTCTTCTTGCACACTATACTCAAGCCACTTATGATCCTTAAACCAAGTAGGGCAAAAGCGATGGGGATGTCCACTAAAATCTCTGATCTCAAACTTATGATCCTTTGGTTGACAAACACCCAAGTCAATGTATCTCCTTCTAACTCTATCTTGGTCATTGGCATGATACGAAGATATGGGAAGTCGCTTGCCGGAATCACGTTCCAGAGCTGCCAAATCTGCTTCAAATTGGGGCATTGATTCATCATCTTCATCGAACGCTTCATCATCTTCTACAATTGGAGTTGTCTCCCTCTCCGGTTGCGGAGCTTCGTCATGTCTTTGCACTATTGCTAGCTGCAGATTGCTCTCAACCTCAATGGAAAGAGAAGTTGGTGTGGATGTAGAAGTTATTTTCCTTGTCTTTGAAGATTTGTCCCACATTTCAAATATGCTAACACCCTTCTTCTTCATCTGCATGACAATCACATAAACAAAATAGAAATCAGTGGCAATGACAATGTGGCATGGCCTAATGTACATGGGACAAACACTTCAATTTTCATAGTAAACAAGAAATGAATCACATAGTAAAGGAAGTTATTGCAATTTCAGTTTACTGCATTTAAATTTACAAGCACTCACTGAATAAAACTACAGATTTGTTAGAAACAGAGGGAAAGAAACAAAGGAAGTGAGGAGCCGAGGCCGGACCTGCTGCCTGCTGCTGCTGGACGACGCTGTCGCTGGACCTGCTGCCTGCTGCTGCTGGACGGCGCTGAACCGAGGCCGGACTGTCGATGGAGGGCGCTACCGGCAGCCGCCGCGCTGGGAAAGTCGGAGGCGGACTGGCGGCCTGCCGGCCTGGCGCTTGACGGAGCCGCGGAGGAGAGGGCCGGACGGAGGAGAGGGGAGCTGGGGAGGGGAGGGAGATGGTCGGAGTGGAGGGGAGGAACTGAGGGAGAGGCGAGAGGAGAAGGCTGGCCGCCAGACCAGAATCGCTCGCCGCCGCCGCCGGAGCCTCAGCTAGCGCTAGGTTAGGGAAAGGGGAAAGGGGATTCGATTTCGGTCTGCTACTCGCGCGCGAGACCAGACACCCGGTCGCTCGTCTGGCGCCCCGCGTCGCTGCGTTGCTGTGTTTGGGCTGGGCATTGGCTGGGCAAAGTCAGTCTACATGTATATTGATATATGTAGTAAAAAGTTTTGCACAAAATTTCTTTGGTATTCCAGGGAATACCCAGGAATACCCCCAGCTCCGCCATCGTGCAATCGGCTGCCAATCTAAGAGGAAAAAAGAGAGGTAAAAGTGAGGAAAATAGGCACATGCCGTTAAAAATGAAAGGCCTAAGGCAACAAAAAAAAAGAGAAAAGAGGCTCTCATAGCCCCAAAAAGAAAAAAGAAAAAGAGGCACATAGCCCAGAAAAAAGAAAAAAAAATAACTCGTGCTGTGCTACCACGTTGCTTTTTTAATTTTGGGCGTAACACATTTTTTTAACTTTTATTAACATAGTCATTCCTTTTGACAAACTTTTTTTAATTTTTTTGTTTTGAAATTGACAGGTTTTTTCACTCTTAATAAAGTCATTCCTTTTGATAAAGTTGGTTTACACCACACACACATACGAGGGGCCACATTGCCATAAAAAACTGCAAACAAAATATCACATCAACCACTATTCATCATCCATAGCAGAAGACGTGTATATGTGGTTTTTGACCCATTACCAGTCTCTGCATTAGGACATGGAGTATGTGAGCTCAAACTCACATGCACCCCTTTGCTACAGTAAATCGAAAAAAAATATCTAACAAGTTTCAAAAAAATCTGAATATTTTTTTGCAACAAACATTGATTTGTGTTTCACATGCGTGTCAATCCGTAAGATATCTACAGAGTTACTTTGCCTCTCTTAGGACCATCACGATTGACAGTGGTGCCGACCCAGTTAAAAGGAAGTCATACATCACAGTGGAGAAGAAAGGACAAAGGGATATGCATAGTTCAAAGATGCCTGGATGGGAGAAGCCTAAGCAAGGGTGGACTAAGCTAAACACAGATGGAGCCTTTGTGGCATGTGATAATGCGGGTGCGGGCATGATCTTGCACAATGATGTTGGCAAAATAATTTTCTCTGCTTGCAGGGCATTACAATATTGCCGAGACGCTTTGGAGGCAGAACTTCATGCGTGCTTGGAGGGGTTATCTTCGGCGGTCCAGCGTACTTCTCTTCCAATTCAAGTTGAGATGGACTCGTCTGTTGCCGTTGCTATGATCACTGGTGGTGATGCGGATCGTTCACTTTATTCGTCGTTGGTTAATGAGATTAGGGTTTTACTAAACCATCATCAAGCTTGTATTACTCGTATCGCTCGTTCACAGAATAAGGCGAGTGATAAGCTAGCGTATTTTGGTCGTTCTAATAATCGTACTATGACTTGGTTAGGGTCAGGTCCTCCTGAAGTTTTGGAGGTAGTTGCTGAGGATTGTATTGATACTGGGATTGAGTAATACAAGTTTTTGAGTTCGCAAAAAAAAAATTGTGATGAAATGACAATTTTTGGAGAGAAAAAAAAACAAAATCATGTTCAAAAAAATGTTTTTGAAAGTATTTTGGAGCATCGATTTTGTTTTTTTGCCGTGACCGTCAATGTTTGTTGACAAAAAATTCAGATTGTTTTGAACATTCTTCAAAAA